GCCCAGGCAGCCGTGACGTCCCCCTGCTCCGGGGCAGAGGTACAGAATCAGAGCCAGAGGACGGGGAAGGTCACCTGACAAGGCAGCAATACCACAGCTAGGACAGCGCTGAGGTCAGAGGTCATGTGATGGAGGTCACATGCTCAGGGAGACACGTTCCCACGGAGCCCGCCGACGGCACTGCATACGCAGCCCACTGCCCAGGCAGATTCACACTGTGGGCTGTTGTTCCAAAAGCTGAAACCGCACCCCCACCCCAAACAGGACAGAACCACCATTCAGGCGGGTTACTGGGGCCCCGTCCGACACAGACACGCTCCCCCTAGTGGACACTCACCGTGCTGGAATTAAGGGCATTTTTGTCATAGTATTTCTTCCTCTCGTACTTGTCCCTGATGAAGAACTCGACGGCTCTGTGCTTGGGGTTAAGGTGATGGCGTCATGAAGCTGTTTATCTACATTACAACGGTCCAGAGACGACGCTTTCGAACCCAGAGCCTGGGATCGCAGGTAAGCAGGCTGCGGCTTTCTGGGGTCTGTGAATAGGGAATCGCTCCCCCCCCCACACACCTTAAAGGATCGGCACCTTCATGAAACTTTGATTACAGCACAATGTTAAGTGATGAAATATGCATCATCTCAGGGGGGTGGGAGGGGGGCAATGAGACTGGGAGCTTCTGAGCCCAGAGTTGCTGGCCAAAGGGGAGCAAGAGCACAGCCCTCTGGCTGCAGGAGCAGAAAGCTCTCCGAGGGACTGGGATGGGGGGTGTTTAGCGTGTACACAAACACACACATATAAAGGCACAGACACCCTCTATCAGGTCCACTGGTCCTACTTGAATTCAGCATTTTTGCACCTCCAGGACTAGGAGGTGCAGTGAGGGGGGGGCAAGGGGGAGGGGGGCAACACTGGCAAAATAAAACCTCCACCAGGGGACGAGGACACCCAGCCTAGCCCGTCAAGATCAATATATTTTGATGCTTAAGGAATATTGCGGAGCGCCAAGCCCCACAAACGGCCCATTTGCATGCGAGCGCCTGGAGCACATCGCTACAGATAAGGCGCCGGCCGCGTGGAAGGAATTCAATTATGGCCGGCGGAGGCGGCGGAGGGGAGAATATGGAATCACTCAGCCGCCGCGAGGCTCCGCAGTGTGACAAAGGCGAGGGGCTGGGGGGGGGGGGCACTTTCACGGCACATGAGGGAACGGACAAAGCAAGGATACTGGTCGGTCTGGGGGCGTCTGAAGTTCTCTGGGCGGTGGCCCTCATACAGCAGCCGGGCCTTGGTGTTACCCATGTCCTGTATGCTCTGCAAGGGGACAAGAAACCAGCAGAAGGACATCAAACATTTGAGGGGTTAGGATGCCGTACCTACGATCGGAAGGTCGCGTGTTCAAATCCCAGGCTCAGCAGAGTGATTTCACTCTCGGACCTTTGAGCAAGGCACTTAACGCCCCCCACGCCCCCCCCAACCCAAATCCCTCCAGGGACGGCCTGACTCTGCCTTTTTTGGATAAGACCGTTTGATAAATAAAAAAAAAAATGTAAATGCAAAATGCAACTATACACAGTGACTCTGGCATCTGTCCCAGGATGCACAGAGGAGAGTCTGGATTAGCATGCTGTAGAGTGCTGGGGACACACACAGAGGAAACCACTGGAATAATGGGAAGAGCATGCAAACCTCCACAGAGAGCCTTGTGAAAATGAACTGATCCACCAAGCGACTGCTTTTAAGAAAGAACACGGCCAGAAGTTAGCATCAGATTCTAAAGATGAAGTTCCCCCTTAAAACAGTCATATAATGTCAGTTCCATTTTACAGCAAGTTTGCAGAATAAGTGATTTAAGCAGTGTGGGCGGGCCCTTGGTACCTGGATCTGCTCTGGCGTCCACTGGTCCAGGTTGACAGACTTGACTCGGGATATGTGGACACCCAGGTTCCGGTGGATTCCAGCACAGCGGATGCAGATGAACACGCCCAGGTTCCATGACGCCCACCGGGGCCCTGTGCGGAGGACGAGATGGAGTCACGTCACATCGCAGCTTACCTCCATTCCCACGCCCGCTTAACCATCAGGTTGTGATCACGGCGATCCAGTAATAACTACACCCACATCTAAACGTCACTGTCAGGCCCAAAACACATGGGCCTGCACATCCCTCCTCCGAGATCCTCGTCTGGAACTGCCGCCTGTCAGGGGCACCGACATTAATCCCACTCACCCGAGACTGGGCCACCTTTCAAGCACAGGGAAAAAAACGCTACCGACTTCAGCGACGTCAAGATGGCCGCGTGGCTCCACGGCCCGGCTCTGCCCGGCGGCACAGGAGAGCCTGACAGGCTGGGCCGCGCTGACTGGCGGCTCATAAATCACCCCTGCTGCCGGGAAATGGATTTCTCCGGGCACTGGGCCGCCTACTCCTCCGTCTGGAGCTGTCAGCCATTTTGGGACAGATTAAATTTTGAAAAGGGGGAGGGGGGGGGACATCTGTCAAGAGCCAGCTATCGGACAGTGCAGGAGACTGAGCCGGGGGGTGCAGGAGATTGAGCTGGGGGGGGTGCGCCCCCCCATCACTACACCTCAGCAGGCTGTTAGCAGATTAGCGTAATGAATCGCCACCCTCCCCGCCCCTCCCCTCTGCGGCTAACGCTAAGTAGCTGATTAACTGAGATGTTATCACTCTGTTCCGCACAGTTCAACACAGAGCATTAAGAACAAAAATACAGCATAATAATATGAAAAATTCAATATCCTTGGTAGTGGATAAACCCTGCAAGCTGGTTCCTTCCGGCGATGGGGAACACAGTGACGCTCGGCCAGGGAGACGCAGGCACCCCTATCCCAAGAGAAGCGATTACACCATGAGAGGCAGTGAGTGCTTTGCAGAGGCCACCCACTGAAGAACATGGAGTGTGTGTGTGTGTGTGTGTGTGTGTGTTTGTGTGACTGACAGCCAAGTTATACCACAGCTAAGGGACAGGCCAGGCCGGCCACACACACACACACACACACACACACACACACGCAGAGTCACTCTCTGGGTCCAAGCTCCTGAAAGCTCGCCTGTACCCCTCTGTCAGTGTCACCGTGACACAACAAGGGGGCATTTGTCAGGGCCAACAAGGGGCCCATTCTACCAGCCACCATTCAGCCCGGGCACACGTGCAGGCGGGGCCGGACCGAGCCTTAGTCCCCCACAGCGGCGCTGCCTTTCCCCGACGTGGGAACAGAGGAACCTGCATTGAAGTGTTTGGGACCATAACAATTCAGGACTCTGGACTGAAACTTCAAAAAGCACTTTGAGAGACTGACCAAGAGGCCCTTCATCTAGACCCAGGTACCGTGTGCTCCAGTACGCACCCGGACCCGGTCACAGAGCAGAACTCCAGGCAAACAGGGAAGGAGGAGGTCAGCAGGTCCGCCACCTCTCTGCCGGACCCCGCCTCCGCCCACCGGTAACCCCCACACACCTCATATATAAGGGTTCTGGCCACACAGAGAACACGCCTTTTAATAATGCAGACGAAATCTGATTACACCAGGCGTAATTATGAACATTGAGTGCCGTATTAATAGACAGAGAGGGTAGAAAAATGATGAGGGATTAAAAAAAAACCCATGCAAGATGGTTCGATCAGAACCAAGCTGGCAGGAGAGGAGAGCTAGACACACACACAAGACACACACACACACACACACAGACACACACACTGCAGCACCGGTGTCTCCATGCATACATTTGTGGGCACAGGGGATAACAATCTTCTTTTAAAAATTAAATTAAAAATATAACACAACATAAAATGTTTTTTTAGCAGTTTTCATTTCTTTTTTCAAGCCTTGCTGGTTTGGGTTTAAGAGGGTAATTAATTACTGCCTAAAGAGAGCCAACGGAAAAGTCCTTACGAATCAAACCCGCATGCCTGTATGTCCATGCCGAGGGGGAGGGGGATGCAGCTATGAGTAGGAGACCCCCCCATACCCATGCAAAAGTAGATGCTGGACTGCGACTGTCGTGAGCCCCAGAAAAGCATCTGGGAGGAGTGGCTGCAAACAGTCACCATTTGCTGCTCATCAACAGCTAAAAAAATAGCAGAACAAAATGTGCTGCACGAGCATCCCAGTCCCTCTCTGGGCTCAGCCCCCTCCTGTTTGGTGGATCAGCTGAGTGTGAGAGTGTGTGTGTGTGGGGGGGGGGGTAGTCTTCACCTCCCCTCCAAGCCAGCGACACTCAGTGGCCGTCACACACCAGTACACAGGAGGGCCATCCTCTCCTGAGCCCCCTGGGCTGGAGGTCTGCGTTAATGTGGCTAATTCGCTGCTCGCGCGGATCCGACGTGCCGCAGTGATGCAGTTCCGCTGCAGCATGCCCCCTCCCGCTGCCTTACCTCCTTGTCCCTCTTTGCAGCCCCTCTGCCCTGCATGCTTGATCACGCGGGGAGAACAAACCCTGCTGTGTCTATCAAAGTGGGAATCGAGGGAAATGGCCTGAGAGGGCAGGAGAGTGCCACAATCCGAAAGCGCCCCCTGGTGTCAAAAAGAGGACCCTGCATGACAGTAAGGGTACTAAGCCTAAAGTGTGGCTGTAGCATAAAAACAAGAGACAACAGCTTATTAAAAAAAGATGCTGCATTTAGGAAACTAAAGCGCGCGTGCTCTCTCTCACACACACACACACACACACACACACACACACACAGACACAGACACACACAGACCAAAGTCTGTTGCAGTACTGTAAACGGCCAGCAGAAGGGGCTGGGTCACATTCAATACTCAAGTATTTGGAAGGGGGAAAAAGAATACCAAAACACTTTATCACACTCTGTCCCACAGACACTTTGAAAGGCTCTGATGCTAGCTCTGCTCCTCTCAGGGTCTATAGCTTTAACCACCGTCATACATTCGCATGCACTTCACAGTAATTATTTCTGTCAAATTCTACTTCCGGCGCTGCCTTGAGTGCTGCCTGCTACAACAGTTCTTTGTCTCGAGCTGCATTTGTACCTTTGAACTTTATATTCCGTTATGCAAACAAAATTTCCCCCTAGGAAGCATCTTAAAACTGCAGATCACAGCCGCTAAATGACTAAAGGCAAGGATAAAACAGAGGTCCCTTGCCTGCAGCTGGGAGGGAGCAAAAATGTGGACTGGCTGTGGATCCCCAAGGACTGGATTGAGAAACACAGGGATAAAGCAACGGTCCATAGAAAGACATCCTACATCTAGGGGCATGGACTCAGCACTGCATAGAAATCACTGCCTCTCACCCACACCAAAGGGTGCATGTTACTTTACAGCAGGGATTTTCATCCTTTTTTGAACCAGGGAAAACAGACAAGAGCTCAGAACAGCCAACCACATGTGGGAAGGACCTGAATGTTATATAAATCGAATAGCTTAGTATGTCATACCAGATTATAACGTTTCTTACATGCTGATCGTTGTGCCTCGTGATCTCATTATTAAATGCACTGTCTCACATTGGTCACAAGTTTGTGTATATATAAAGAGCAGAGGTTCTCAACCTTTTTGCACAGCGGCCAAATTGTTACCATGCCAGCTCAATTGCGACCCTATATCAAGTATAGGTCTAAATTAACGCTATGATCAGGCACGTGGTGCACTCTGCAATTTACACCAATCGATGCCTGTCGCAGAAACCTGATTGGATGTGCCAGTTCATTTTAAATTAAGCATCTGTGGTTTGGCTTCTTGGATTGGACGAGTGTCCACTAGTTGTGCGCCAAGCATTTGCAGACCCATTTATTTAGGCTAATTCTAGGATCGGGGCTGGGAAATCTGATCGTGGATCGGCATGGGAACTTACTGGTTTTAAAATGCTTAAATTTGCAACTCTGCCTCGTGACCCTTTCAGAATTTGGGTTGTGACCTATGGGTTGAAAATTGCTGATCTAGAACACATATATTTACTATTTTCAGTATTGCAGTAGCGTTTTTATTACCCTATAGCTGTATTTTCTTTTATGCCTAATTTTTTATTTATTTATTTAACCTTTATTTAACCAGGTTTGTCCCATTGAGATCACAGATCTCTTTTTCAAGGGAGACCTGGCCAAGGAAGCAGCAACACAGTGGCTTACTTTAATGTTTAGTGTCTTGTTCATATTGCAGTGAAACGTCAAGTCAAATTCCTTGCAAGTGTCACCTTACTTGGCCAGTAAAACTGATTCTGATAATCTGGCATTCCACAAATACACCAAATGCCTCTGCAGATCCCAAGCGGAAAAGTCCTGGTTTAAAGTGTACAAAGTCGTCTCTTGTTATGGGCTGTGTCATACTACTTGCCTACTCTGGTAAACGGTCTGCTGTGAAACTTTTCAACAGTCAGAGAATACAAAATATGAATTAAGCTCTCTGCTGCCACAAGTGGCAAACAGGATGCAGTGCAGTGAGAGCCATTCCCGGATGTGGCTTGCTGGTTTTTGCATTCCATACGGCAGCTGCACACTGGACATGGGGTGTTCATCGTCAGCCGAATCGTGTCATAATCAGGCAACATGTACTAGCACATCAGCCTGTCTCACAGCTGTCTTACAGGAGTTGCCCACAAAATGCACGCTTCTGGTCTAAGGAAAACCAAAACAAAGCAACACCATACCTTGTAAACTGCCAGTTGTGTTAACAATGAATGTACCCATCAACAACTAGTCTGGATACAAACAATTCATCCTCATTAAAATACAAATTAATATTTGACCCATTTCTTTAAGACTCACTCTGACAAGAACAGCTCTGGCTCCATCTGCTGGCCGATGTAGAAACAGCAGCTTCCTCTGAAGCGTGGAGCAGTCTTTAGAAAGGTTACTAGGGAACTCACTTTAAACCAGAACTATCCATCCAGCCATGTTCTATGCAGGGTTGTAGGGGTCCATCTTGGAGGCTGAGGGCTCAGGATGGGGTGTCAATCCAACTCAACCCGAACTAGCCACTAAGCTTAAGGTATAAATTTAGTGTAATGTGTAATTAGTCAGCTGGCCAC